CCAAGTGATTTACAACTTATAATGGCATGATTAGTAGTGAGACATGGTTGAAAGGGCAATAAAACAGTAAAATAGATGTATACTGTTACGAGTTTAAAGCTACATAGGATAAACAAATGTAGTTTCATGTTACAGTTTGAAGTCATTCAAGAAAGAAAAATAGGGTAATTTAGATTTATTTAGATTTTTTCTTTTTATTTTGGGGGTTATGAGGTCAGTCAAATTGACCAACGTTGTATAAAGTTAGGGTAAAGAAAGTAACAGATAAAATATAAAGTTTTACTGAAATCATACATTTGAAACATTTTACAAATAACTCAAATGATATTTGAGATTGTTGAGATGAAGAAAAGTATTTTCAATCATAACATGAAAATCATTTTGCACATGGACTATTCAAAACAAATAGTGTTAAAATACTCTATATTCAGAGACAAATCTTTTTTTTGTGGTTTGCGAAAGACTTATAATGTTTACTAAAAACTGACAAATTTCGTGAAGATATACACACTATATTAAAAGTTAGTAGTATCAAATCTATTAAGACTAAAGGAGTACAAAGAGATCACGTGGACGGTCAAATCGACCAAGCTCGTATTGAAATAGTTAAATAAGACTATACAGAATTAAATTTTCCCAGAAGTTTTGAATACAACTTTATTTGTAACTTGTATTATTTTGTAATGTTTAATCCGTTTTCTTACCAGGTATTCACAGCAGGTTGGCCAAAAAAATTGCTTACGATTTCTTCAGTTGCTAGATAATCAATATGAGTTTAGTTAATCCTTACTCCTTTTGTGATATTTCCTGTGACAAAGAAAGTCTGTCTGAGTTATAAGATAACAATGAACTCTGATGATCCTGACTTTTCTTTTTCCTTCAATTGGGTAAAATAATTTAGTAGTTGCAAAATCAAATCTACAAGAAGTTAGCCAATTCTGGAGTTCCATGAATATACATACCCACAAGTGACACTTCACCAGGATCTTAGTTTACACAGTGAAATATGTTACATTATATAATAAATGTGTTGATAAAAGCTAAGCCTAACAGTATTAAATTAGGGTTAAAACAGCAAGTTTATGTGAAGTTTAATTTTATTCAAACAACTTTTCTGAATGGTGTTTGTAAAATATTTATGTAAGAGCAGTTTAATACGTTCTTAACCCTCTGTTTTACACAGCTCTAAGTTCTCCTCAGTGGTATGCTTGGGGTCCTCAACATATGCACTGTAGACTTTGTCAGGTGTGCTGGGGTTTCTGGAAACGATACGGAGGCCTGAAGTATCCCAGTAAACTAGGTAATTATTAGCTGATAATGGTTTTGTAGATTCTATTTTGTCTTTGCTACATCAGACATAACATATGTCCGGTTGTTACTGTGACTTTCAGATTTCTTCTCCATTTTCATCCAAAAACTTAGATGTTTTCATAACAAAATTAGTAAGTTTAGTCTTGCTTGAATATAACTGGAAATCTTTGTTGTGAAAACATTTGTGTTTAAAGAATTCTTTAGACTGTTCTTATACTACAATATTCATTTTTAGTGAAGTTTTGGCTTCTTAGATGCAGACTTTGTTGAGCTTTGTGGGATTGTTTCAATCAACAATTGTATGGAACAACCAAATACTGCTTGACGAAGGCTTCAGTTAAGTTTGACAGTTAAGTTATTATTTAAATGATAGAAAAGTCTGAAAGTCTGTACACTTTTATACCACATGAGGATTTTAAAAAATTATTATTTTTGTTTGTTATAAAACTAACATTATATACCAACAAAATATATTTTTGATATCCTGTTTAGGATTGCAATTGACCCTTAACTTGGATCCATACTAAAAATAGTCAATATCCTTATGTTATTCAGTGATTAACACCACTGTTTAAAAAAAAAAGTAATTTATGTATATAAAATAACATTTTAATTTTCTGTTAACTATTAAGCCAAAACAATTGAAAGCTAAGCTTAAGATTTTTGTCTTTTGTTTCTGAGTCAGTTCCAGATCTATCAGTTAGCTCAGTCATACTTTAATAGCTTTCCCCTAATCCAATAATTTTGCTTAGAGTACAGAATGAACTACAGTAATTAAATGGAGAAAAACATCTGCAATCATTATTTTGGGGATTTATTTGGTTTTGGATCTAAATAAACTTTTTTTATAACATTGGTGAAAGCTAAATATCAAATAAAAAAAATACATTGTATACCCTTAGAAATAAATGTATTTGCTCAAAGATTCAAATAGAAATAACATGTGATTATTTTAAGAAACACTAAAGAAAGTTCCTTAAATGCATTTTGTCTTATTTCACATTATTCCTTTTAAATACTCTACACATGCTAAGTGACTTTTTTATTATTACTACAGTTTTGTGTTTAAAATATTGCACTGAGCCCATCAGTATGTTATTCTGTTAATTTTTTTTAGTATTTAAAGACAAAAATAATTAAGTAAGCAAAGACAAAACAACATTTGAAATTCTAATAAAAAAAATCTAATAATCTAAATATATGCAACAACAGCAACAACCTATAAGGTAAATACTAGTAAATGCAAAGTAGCACATTATCAAAAGTATACATATGCATATTTATTGATCTATTTAAAGATCAAGTGAAATGACCACCTGGCATGGCCTGGTGATTGGAACTTGACCCTCAATCTGTGGGTGGTGGTATCAAAACCCATCTACAAACATGCTCACTCTTTCAGTTGTGGGGACAATGTCATGTTACAGTCAATCCCACTATTCTTTGTTAAAAAGCAGCCAAAGAGTTGGTGGGTGATTTTAACTAGCTGCCTTGTTTCTAGTCTTCAAAATTAGGGGTGGCTAGTGCAAACAACTAAAAAAAAAGTTGCATATAACAAAAGGTTTTCTATATCTAATGATAATGTAACAATCCTCCTAGAACATTTTGTTGCATATAGAGAAATGTAAGTGCTTCATTTATTAAGAAAAATAGTCTAAACCATTATTTGATAAAGGTCCCAGTGTGTGTATGGCTGATTGTGACTGACAACTACTGAACTGATTGTCATCAAACCTGGTGTGTACCCTTGTTGCTTCCTGGGGAGTGATAAGAGGGTTGGCACTTGGATCTGAACCCCTTCCATCTCACGCTGTAATCTCCTATGGCTTACCCATTCATTTTGTTTGCAAATATGGGGAGTGACATGAGGTCATCATCCAGGTTTGACTTCTTATGTTATCCCCCTACCCTTGGGAATTGGGATGTTTTGCAAAATTACTAGTTACAAATGCTATGAAATTTACATTTTTAAATTCATTTTTCAAAATAATTAAAACTAATCAAAATTGATTTACCTTAAAGTATTTATATTGACTATCAATTTCATTCAACTGTCCTTGCAAAAAAGGATTCAAGAAAAAAATCTTCTTTATTTATATCTACAGTTTCTTTGGAATCAGATTTTTGATTCACTGGATTCTGTATGTTCTGAGCAAAGTTCAAAATTTGAGGACTAAGAAAAAGTTATTAAAATCCTAACAGAGCTGCTTGATAGATCTGGCACTGACTCTGACCTGAATGCAGAAATTGTAGGGTAAGCTTTCAATTTTCCTACTTGTACAGAAATGTCATTTTTATATACATAAATCCATAATGAACTAATGAAGAGGAATGTGGAAGAAACATCTCCACTCTGGTGTGATTTTAACACTAATATTAGGCATGTTGTTTTCATTGTTTCACTGGCTTTTGGCATTTAAAACTGCAACATGAAGTGCTCACTGAAGATATTAGATTAGTTTGTTTCACTTCTATACACATTTTTTTTATGAATATTAAACATAAGGACTAATTTAAGGGGAAGAAATATAAAAATATTTTTATATACGCTTTTCTACATTTACTAAATCACAAACAAAAGAAAAAAACTGCCACAAATACAATTTCTTTCTTTTTGTTTAATCTGTAAAAGTTTGTGGTGCTCGATCCTAGTACAAACATGGTGAAACAATTATCCTAGTAGCCCTTTGGTATCTTTCAAGTTTATTTTTTTGTATAATAACATTATTTACTTTTCCCTTAAAAATCATTTATTTAGGTTTAAATGTTTTATTTACTCCCAGAACCAATTAAATGTGCATGTTTTAACATAGGAGGCTAGTGATAAGATACATCTAACAAGTTGATGTAAGAGTATCAACTTATAGTCAAGGGTTGTCCTCCTTTTTTCTTGAACCCAGATGGTGAATTCCAGATCTCAGCTCGGAGCTCAGATAATGACTCCACTTACTCATGCAGGGAATGTAACAAAGTCTTTAATCGGCAAGGTCAGCCTGGCTTTAATTTTTTACTTTCTGTTCCTGCCCCACCATTTGTTTCCTTTTTTTTTTCTCTGTCTTTTTATTTTTTACATTTTTAACAATTACTGGGAGCTTGTGTCTTACAGTTCCAGGCAGAATATAATTTCATTTTTGTAATGAAATTATATTTAGTTTAAATAATTTATCAGATGTTAAACATATTCACTCACTGAGCATGCTAGGTATACTCACAAACCATTATTATATTTTTAACAACTGCAACCTGGTGTCAAATGTAAAAAATCAGAAATTATTGATACTTGTTAAAGTTATTTTAATGTAAGAATAGTATTAGAAGTTCAATGTCTAGAGTATTGATCCCATATATACTTCATGATTTGTTCTATCATCTGATTCAAACATTTTTCATTAATTTGCCTGTAATCACAAGAAAATTAATTTCTTTACATTCTTTAGTTCTAAATATGACCCAGAATGTACTTAAAAGCTATTTGAAACAGACATACCTTATCACTATGAATAAACAAACATTTTATTTTGTGGGGTAAAAATAATATCTTATAAAATATTTTCACTCTGAATGAGTGAAATATTACATAATTTAGATGTAACATATATATATGTTATGATATTTTTAACATACAATATTATGAATGCTATGATTCTTATTAATGCTAACGTCTCAGAGTATACTGTCCTTAGATTGTAACCTGCTCATGTACATGTCTCCATTCTTCAAGAAAGACAAAATTCTGACTCTTGTGTATGTTGCAGTTTTTAGTTGCTATAAATCACATATGATGACAAGGAACCAACTTTTAGACAATAATGTTTGGAGACAGCATGAATGGGTAGTAAATAAAACTTCATTACAAGTTTACCAAAGGTACAAAATTAAAAAAAAACCTTGTCAAAATATTACACATTTGTTAAACTTTTTATAAGTTTTTTTTCATTATCAATTCAAGCCATCTCTAAACGTTAGTTACAGTATTGTTTCTTTTAATTTAATATGTGAAATTCTTATATCTGTTGACACAATCTTGTTTGCAGAACAGCTGACAGCTCATATGGCCACACACAGACCTCACCGTTGTGGGTTCACCAGCTGTGGTAAGGTAGGTCTTTTGACTTGTTAAAAATAATTTTTTTTTATTATCATACCACATACTAAAGACCAGCCAAATAGATGTAATACTATTGAGGTTTATAATACAGGTTTTCTATCGTATCACACCACACGCTAAAGACCGTTTGTGTATATTTAACACTATTCAGGTCTATAATAAATGTTTTCTGTATTATTGCATCACACAAACTAATGATCAGCCATATAGATCTAATACTGTTCAAGTTTATAAATAGATTTTTGTATTTAGTGTAATTCTCAGTAGAATTAATGACAGCAATCACATACCTAGATTTTATCACTTGTAGATAAAACACCAAGCACTGTTTATGTGGGTATTTGTCTGTGAATAACTTTCTTTAATTCTTTTCAATTGAGACTCAAAACTCGAGCACTTTCAATTAGTTCACTATTCTTCTTCAGGTGTTCATTGCACCTGCATATCAAGTTTCAAAATTTAACTAATAGTAATAACTGAATTTTTTAAACTAAAAATGGCTTAGAATTGATATTTTTAACACTTATTTAGTTTAATTTGCAAAGAAAAATAAGAAAATATGTTCAAAGTTTAATTTCTTTGCAGCTTTGAGAAGTCTCACCTGTAAACTGCATTTGTTAATTTTTTTTGTAACGTTCCTGCTCATTCCAAGCTATAGATTTATATTTGGCAAGAAACTGTCATCCATTTAGAATTGATGGTTAAGGTGTTCGTCTTGCAGTCTATAGGTTATGAATTTAAGTCCCATCACCAAACATGCTATCCCTTTCAGCTCTAGGGGCATAATTATTTGATGGTCAATCCCACTATTCATTGATAAAGACCAGCTTAAGAGTTTGTGGTGGGTGGTGTTGATTAATTTCCTTCTCTGCAGTCCATCACTTCTAAATTAGGGACTGCTAGTGCAGATGATCCTCAAGTAACTTTGTGCAACTCTCAAAAACATGCAAACAAACCATTTATAATACAGGGTGGTCTAAAATTATCTTTCCTACTTTAGAATTAAATAACTAAAGAAATACAATCATACAGTTTTCAACATCTTGTAGTCCAACTCAAACAGTTTTTATTGTCACATTTGTTTCACTCCAGTTTGTATTGTTACCCCATAAAATGGTAACTGTGCAAGAAAAGGCTCAATGTAATGGATTGGTTGGGGTGGGCTAATTCCATGGCCTCTGCATTCACTAAACATCACTCCTTTTGGGGGGTAACTTAAGGACATCATGTATCCTATAGCAAACATCATGGAGATAAAGACCAGAATAATGGATGCCATCACTAGTGTAACTGTGGACATGTTGTTGCAAATATGGACTGAAATCAAATATCGATTAGATGTACTGAGAGACACTAATAGTGCACGTGTAGAAGTCTACTGATATGTCAATAAAAAAGGTTTTAGTTTGGCTACAGAATGTTAAAAACTTGATGGTTGTATTTCTTATTAAATTTTGAAATAGGAAAGATAATTTTGGACCACCCTGTATAACATTTCACATTTTGCTTCTCTCGTGATTTTCCTTTTCTATTAGTGCTTTTATAAGTATAACCTATGTGGTCTGAACATTTATTAATGAAGTCCAACTTTGAAAAATCTATAGCCAACATTTAAGTACAGTTGGATAGAATATATTATGACCTAGTTATGTTAATGTAGAGTGAAGAAAGTGATATGAGTAGTATTTTCTGGTTTCTCAAAATATGGACTACTGGGAACTACTGTAGGCGTGAACGAAGGAGTCTTATGGGAAGTTTAGAATTTTTTTAGTTTTTTAGGTGTTCTTTTCATTCCTGAAAATGTTTTCCTGGTAACTTGTATCTGTATGACAAGGTATCAGGTAAAATTAGTTAGGTTTAGCGAGTACAGCAAATGATATGTTAATGCTGAAATATTTATTCGTTGAGGATTATTGTTAATTTTATCATATTCAAACAGTCTACACAAATGGAATAACTTGTTTATTAAAAATAGTCTATATTTATTAAGTATAAGTTGATCTTGACCAAAGGATACCTAGACTTAACTCAGCAGTGATGCCATTCTGAAAATTGAAATCCCAGGTTGTTTCAGTGGAACTTTAGGCAGAGTAGACATGGATTTGTGAACTTAAATGGACTGAAACTGCCTTTTTTTCAGACCTAAAGAAGGCCTCAGTATAAAAGCCAAAACATTGTTTCTTTTTCATTCAACAGGCAGTTTCAGTCCATTAACGTTCCAAAATTGTAAATCAGCAATAAATATTTGTCAGTTTTTGCAATACGTTTTATGATTTATAACCTTAAGTGTTGACCACTGCACATGGAAAAATAAATGTAAAAAAAATACATTAATCAATATCAACCAAGTTGATACTGACTTTATAAAAAATGTTACTTTCCGATTAACATTGAAAAAATTGAAAGTCTAAGATGAAAAGAAATATCTTGGTATAGAAGAGTAACTCACAATAACATTTGAAATTTTACAATCTAAAATGCCAGCCCGGCATGGCCAGGTGGTTAGGGCACTCAACTCGCAATCTGCAGGTCGCAGGTTCGATTCCCTGTATCACGAAACATGCTCTCCCTTTCAGCCAGGGGGGCATTATAATGTTACGGTCAATCCCACTAGTCGTTGGTAAAAGAGTAGCCCAAGAGTTGGCTTTGGGTGGTGATGACTAGCTGCCTTCCCTCTAGTCTCACACTGCTAAATTAGGGATGGCTATAGTGCAGATAGCCCTAGTGTAGCTTTGCACAAAATTCAAAACAAACAAACAATCTAACAATTTTATTATTTCAAGTTACAGTTGAACTTCATTAATAAGAACTCGGTTACAATGAACACTGCTTAAAATGAACAATACTACTAAGTTCCTTTGAAATGCCATTGACACCACTACAAAACTCTGTTTATGGAGAACCGATTTTTATAATAAAACAGTAGGTTTTCACACATACCGCAAACGTTTCTTTTACAACACAAGCTAGGAAACCATAAAAGGACAGACTATGTATATGAATTCCATCACCTTGGCATGAGACGTAAGAATTTAAACTGTTAATATGACGAGCCAAATGGAAACTCTCCACTAGGAAGCCATTGGTTTAATAGCAGATGTTTTGCAGGTTTAACATGATTAGTTATTGCAAAATTACTCCCTCAAACTTGTGAATAAAGTGTGAAATAGTGGCATTGTGATTTTAGATAAATTGGAGCAGTTTCATCAATGAAACAGCACTTCACACATCATCTTCAAGATGTCAACAACTCATGTACCCACTAAGCGGCATGCTCTATCATTGGAATGCAAAGTCCAAATGATCAGAGCTATTGAGTCTGATGTTTGTCATGGTGACTTGTGTAGAAAATTTGATATGAAGCTAAGTACACTGTCTACAATTTTGAAGAAAAAGTCTGATATTTTGAAAATGTATGAAAACAACAAAATCGAACCTGACCGCAAACGTTTTTGGTTATCAGCAGTGGACGATGTTGAGCAAGTATAGTTAAAATGATTTACTAGCACACATTGGATGAATAATTCCAATCAGCAGGTCCATTCTCCAAGCAAAAGCCAGAAACTGGGACAAAAGTGGAATCATCCCGACTTCAAAGCCAGCAATGGTTGGTTGGAAAGTTTCAAGTCTCGACATGGCATTATCTCTAAATTAGTGTGCGGCGAGGCTACTGCTGTCAGAGATGATATGGTTGATGACTGGGTGTCAATGTCATTACTGGCACTAGTCGAGGGGTATGCATCAAGAGAGTTTTAACACTGATGAAACTGGTTTATTTTTTCATTTGATGCCTGATAAGACTATAACATTCAAAAATGAAGTCTTTTAAAGAGGAAAGAAAAGCAAAGAAAGAGTCACCGTGATGTTGTGTACAAATATGGATGGATAGTGATTTATTCAGTGATTGGATACACAAAGAAGATGAGAAGTTCGGACATAAGAAAAGTCCTCGTGTTTGTTGACAATTGCCCAGCTCACTCAGCTATAGACAACCTAAAGTTCACAAAAAACATGTTTGTCTTGCTGAATCAAACATCAAAACTGCAGCTGATATACAAGGGCATGATCAGAAATTTCAAGAGCTTCTATCGAAAATGGGTTGTGCAGGAAATGCTGGTGTCTCTCGATTTTGGAGAAAATCTACCAACAATCAACATTAAAGATGCAATCAATATGCTACATTCATCGTGGCAAAAAGTTACAGAGTTGACCATTGCCAACTGCTTCCATAAAGTGTCATTTGACATAATTCTGTCTTGATGTATTGATGATGTAAATAATCCTCTTTAGTTGGAAATAAAAAAGATAGAAAGCATAATTTTTGTTACATATATATTTGCATGATGTGTGACAAAAATAACATTGCATTTGGGGCATTGTAATTATAAAAGCCTTACTTGTTTCATGAAAACGCCATCTAGTGGTCAATCGGTTTATAACAAACTCCTGTTAAAACTAATTTTTTTTTGCAGGATACCTTGGTTTTTGTTATAACAAAGTTTGACTGTACATTTATTTTTTAAGTCAAAACTAGATATTTTATAAATTGTGGTATGTAATTGGTTAACTATTTTCACTGGAAAGGAAAAAAATCATGAGATATCAGTGACACCTTTTTGTTAAAAGTGTAGGAAAGAAATAATACAAACTTTAATTAATAAATTTTATAGATTTTGATGAAAGTTCACATTTTTCTCAAATGTTAACATTTTTTTAAAAATTAATTACTTCAGAATGGTGAGGTGTCTTTAAAAACAATGTTGTTAAATTGAGTTTGACCTTTCCTTGATAATTAAATTGAACTGATAATACATATATAATTTTAAAATATTGCTATTAAATAATTAACCCCAGAATAACCAATTGTGTCCATGTGGTTCTCATTCTAAACTATATATGCAAGTCTCTTTAGTCATTTATTTATATTGAATGCTGTAACAGACAGAAACATAAAATTACTTAATATCATGCAATATGTGGACCCCACTGGTAATGAATGTATAAAAATAAGATAGTAATCTGGCATTTAAAGAATGTTAAGTTCATTTTTTACATTAGAATAACCCCTATGAAGTAAATTTTGTAAAAAAAATGAGATTTGCCATATAAAATTATTTTAAGTATTAATAACAATGGCATTGCCTTTTAATAATAGTCAGTGTTACTTTTGATGTGTTTGCCTTCTCAGTGCTTTCTCAACTGAGATTATACACCAAAAATTTCAAAAATATAAGTATGTTATTGTATTTCAGGAATTCAAACTCAAATCTCACCTAGTGCGACACTGTGCCTCTGTTCATGATTCGGCTGTTAGAGTTGGCAGTCCAAGACCTATGATAAAAACGCGTGTAGCCTTCTACTTGTGTACTACACCACTGACTCGACTCGCTCGGCGAATTTGTGCTCATATCTTACAACCCCATCATGCTGCTAGAAATCCTTTCAGGACAATCAATGTCGTAGCTGTCAAACAGGAATGTAAGTTTTGCTTGGTTATTTCCAAGTTTTCTGTAAAGTTAAAATTAAGGTTCAAATTATCTTTAAATGGTTGTAAACAACAACTGTTGTGTAAAATGTGTTTTAGTAATAAATGTTACATGATTATTAACTCCAGACATTTTATTTGCATACACAATATTTTGCCTTGATGTGTTCTTTTATGGCTCAGTTATAATACACTTGGCAAAATATGGCTTGAAAATAAGAGATTATATAATATTTAAAATCAAAGTTTTAATTTCAGTAATCATCATTTTTGTCAAAAGATTATAATGGATTTTACAGCATTAATACTTGTTAGCAAAAAGTTACTCTACTTGTGATTAATTGCTCGTGTAGTTGTTATAGACTAAGGGATTTAGTTGTACAGATTAAAGTGAAAGTTTGTTTCTCTTCAGCTTAAAAAATAATATTAATCTTTTCATTTCATTCACTGAAAATTGAATTTTGTTCTGCTTTATTTATTTTTCATGATAGTTTACACATTAAAATTATACTTATCAGTGGAAAAAAAAAAATTAATAATTTATATATACATTTTTGTTATTTATTTCATGTGGGCAATAGCCAGTAAAAAACATTAATACTGAACTTGATATTATACTTTGGTATTTTAGACTTCTTTACTAATGTGTAAGAATAAACTTTTATTTGTAGAGCTAAAAAATATTTTTTTTTTCCATTTTATTTACTTTACCTCAAAAATTATGAAAATTAGTAAACAATTTTATACTTTGTATTTAATTATTATTGTTTAAATATATCAGAAAATTTGCAATTACATCCTCACATTGTTTATTACCTCTAAAGAGGTTTTTTTCAGTTATATAACTATAATTTAACCAAGTCTAGGATAGTATAACCCTGCGGACAATATCCCCCAAGACAAAATTTCTCAGATAATAAAACACAATTAAAATTGCATTAAAAAACATCTTTATTAAAACTAGAAAAGCAAATAATTATGTGTAAAAAGTAAAAAAAGATGCTAATGCACCTGCTGAACTCTAGAACACAGTTAAATTAGTACATCTAAAAAACCTAAGTTACGAGCAATTCTGTGCAAATAGTCCAGAATGATGGGGTTTCTCTGATCTTGAATCATTGTAAGTGGTCAGGCTGTTACATCTTTTTACTTCTTTCTTCCTGGCTGTGGACCATCATGCGCTTGTTGTCTGCAATGTCTGACATCACAACACAGATGATGAACAGAATGCAATTTTGCTGTTGCATCTTTAGTTATTGTTGAAACTGTCTGTGTGATTACTTGTTGCAATTTCTTGTCTATTTTCAGTATGTATCTTCATGTCTTGTACAGCTTTAATAACCTCCCATCTGACTGTACCCAGTGCATGGATATGGTTATGCAGTCGGCCAATTATCTCATTCCCTCACACTTTTGTCTTAAAGAATACTATATAACGATGTTGCTAATATTCATAAGACACGACTCCATTTGCTAGATTTTTTTGCTTAACTTATACAAGTTCTTCAAAAAGAAATTTTTTCTTTACCTTATCAGATCTCATAAATTCCATGATACTTAAGGGTTGAAACTAAACTGTACAAAAGAAACCAAAATCAAAGACCAAATTGACATGAGTTCCTGCTTATGATTACCATGAAACTAGGGTACCCACATATACGCATTAGGATCTGTCACAAATAACTTTTTTTTTAATCTATTAAATTTAGCACTATCTATAATGCAGCATTTCCTCACTTTGGAATCGCCTCTAGCTAGAAAAAGGGATATTGTCTTGGGTGATTCTGTCCACAAAGCAGGTGAAATGAGCTGATTTGAAAGAAAAATTATTTTCAAGGCTGACTGACACTGGTTGAAATTCTTTACTAGCATTGCCATCATTTACATCATCATCATTCTCTTCATTGGTCAGTGGCATCTCTGCCTCTTCAAGCAATCAAGAGGTCTTCATTATATTTGAGGCATTGTCTGTAACAATGCATGACACCTTATTTTGAATGCCAAATGATGTGACAATATTCTCAAGGTGTTGAAGAATATTTTCAGCAGTACGTGTTCCATGAAAACATCTGCAAGCCAACAGGACATTTTGCATATTGAAATCAATAACGAAGTGTGCAGTCATTTTAAGGAAGGATCTCATTTGTCAATTTGTCCAGATGATCATGGTGAGGCAAATCTCAGATGCTTGGGAGAGGAGAGTTAAGATTTCAGCATGCAATCGGGTAGGCAGTTGATGAATAAGTGTTGTACTAAGATGCTTCCATGAAGGCATGGTATAATGGGACTCTGTGATTCTAAGTAAGTTGCAAAATTTATCACTGTCAACAATTGAGAGGGACATTAAATCCCTGGGAGTGAATGTGACAATAGCCTCTGACTGGCCTGTTTTGTTGAGGTTTTCATAAACATCAGGATGTTTCCTCTGAAAAAATAACATTTAATATGAGGTTTTGAAATCAGAGCATTGAGTAACATTATAAAAAGTCTGACAGTCAATCTATCATCATTACAGTGAAGCCTGAAATAAATATCCAAAATAATATGATGTATTGATGGTAAATGATATTTTATTGCATCAATCTAAATAATCACTTCATGGATAACAAAAACATTTTCTACTAGAGAAAAATATCATTACCTGCAGATGCTTAAGCAAGTTTGATGTAGTCTTTCCTGTAGCAGAAATTGATATTGAACAGTGTTTACATTTCACCTATTAACTGCCCAAAGTACTTCTGTCAGGAGCATCAAAGCATTGAAAAACTGGTGTCTTGGTGACTGCCATCTGAAAATACATCAGTTTTTTACAATATTAACTTAAGGTTACCACTTATCCTTTAGAGTAGAGTGCACCAGAATGAAACTATAAACTAGCCTCCAATCTGGGGTTTACACTTATCTTGTGCTAAGAATTAATAATTACTTTTTAATTCACCACACCTGCTCCTCTAAGCTTACTGATCCAGGGATGAGGGGCATTGACTTAATGGGTAATGAACTGATGTCTGAAAATCTTTTGCTTGTGTGCAGGTAATTGGGAAGCTGTGAAAACCACTTCTAAAATGTTTACACCGAAATGCATTTTTTGAAGCAGAAAGACATTCAAAATTTTAAATGTAATAATATTGTAATCACAGATTACGATTACAGTTTATTATAATTACTCCATGTCTGGATGGAGCATGAGAGGCTCTTGCCATTTACCAGTTCCTAACTACTAGGGTGGTAGACTGTTTGGGTTTCTCACGATATGGTGAGAATTGGGGTGGTGGTGATGCTGTCACTGTAGTATGGGTCACCCCTCAAAAAAATGTACCACAAAACTAATGTGTCCTCCTCCTGCAGCAAGAGCCTGTTCAGTAGAGTTGAAATGTGTGCAAGTGCTTATACAGTCATGTTCTTATTCTGCCTGTCCCTGTGACTCTTGGGGCTCATTTGCTTCTCCCCTGTTACATTCCAAGTGAAGGTTCAAGATGAGATGCAGTCTCCTGGATGTGCCATTATAGAGTCCATACCATCAGGTGTCACACTTCATGGGCTTCCTTTCAGGCACTTTCTGAAGGAAGCTCATCTAGGTTTTAAAACATTTTTCACCAACCTTTCCATCATTTCAGTGTAGCATTCTAGCATTTCTGTGTGTGAAAGTGAGCTGTGGTCTCGGAAGTTAACATTTTCCTAATCTGAAAATGTATTTCCAATAAATACTAACTTTCTCGCACATTCCCACTCATCCTCCCAACTTCCTGTGCACATTTTTTTTTCCTTGCCTAGTCAAAGAATGAAGTTATCATGAGTACAAGTAGTATAGGAAAGTTACTGTTCATGGAGGTTGTGTTGCCCTCCTATTGGTAGAGAGCTTTTATTGCATGATAACATCATCATGCGCCAGCACAGTTCACGTTATAAACACATCAATTTAGGTGGGAGTTACCTCAAGTCTAGTGCCATGCAAATTTCATAAGCAGACATGCAAGGAAGATAGCATTTCTGTGTGAAGAGGTAAGTATGTATCAGAAATAAATTTTTAGTTAGGAAAATGTTAACTTTTAATCATTCATTCTTGTACTGCTGTTATCTATATTTGTTTTTTTATTTAAGTAAAAACGTTTCTGTTTTCTTTTTTTGATTTATTTAAGGTCAAAATAAATTACTTGAGGGACTACCAAAAATACCAAAAGCTAAACCTAGGAAACCAGGATCGATTCTTAATATTTCTCACCGTTTGGGTGCTCCTAACATACCAATACCCGAGTGGCTGATAGCCTTACCTAAAGATAAACTTCCTCAACCTGAACGCTTAGCATTTCTTCCTCCTCCCCGTGGAAAAGGTAGTTATTTTTCTGTATAGAAACATATGTGTAGCATTTGTATTGCTAAATATGAAGTATAGTAAGGAAGATGGTTTTCAACAAACTTGTTAATAATGGAAATGGCTGTTATGAGGTTAGAAAACAAACACTCTCAAGAATTATTATGAATAAACTAAATAGTTTAAAAATGACTATTATTTTTTGAAGTAAAAAAATATTTTCGTACATTTAAATATATCTCTTGGCAGAATCTCACTGTGATATATGCAAGTTAGATTTAAATTCTTAAAGTCATTTGCTATAAGTTCACTCCAACATACATAGTGTAGTGTAAGAACAGTATATTATCTATTTTAAGGAATAATTGAACTTTCACAACTATTGTAACTTTTTTATTTCACCATTTGTTAGATGGTCAACTTTTAATACCTTGGCTGCCTCATAGAGAAGAAAACAAGTGTGTTGGCATTAACAGCGTCATGCCAACAATACTAAGGAAACGTGGATATGAACAACAAAATGGAGTAGATGGTAAGATAGTCTTTGAGTAGCACTATTGTGATATAATTATAAAGTATGTACTTAGTAGTTTCTTAATTATTAAATGAGACAATAAGTACTTTACAACACAGTTTATTTGTATTTATTTTTTACAATTGCAAAAAGGTAGTTATTAGTCAGAATTAAGGTTAAACTATCTAGGCATCAGAAAGCAGAAAAGCTGTAATCATATCCTATGAATAACTTTAATTTCTCCATGTATCTTTATTCTATATTACAATAAGTAATAAAAGTTTATACTGTACTTAACCTCATTTTACATATTCTAAGAACTTATGAGTGAAAGCAAAGAACAATATTTAATAATCAACCACACTACATCTGCCATATCCAGTGCTGACGAGGCCTTTCACTCAATACTAGGGTTCATCAGGACGGCTGGGATATTACAGACATAGTAGTGGTAAAGGTGCTGTTTGATAATACCAACAAAAATACATGCACATCTTAAAAACTTTTCCTTCTCTTTAGGCCCTATGGCTAAACACAGAGCAGTAGTTGGTTCCTCACCAGATCTATACAAAATGGCTGACTTACCACGTGGGACAATAATAACTCGATTGAATGGACGAGCAAAGATGGCTACCATCAGGTTTGGAGGACGGAAACAAACAATAAGTTTGGTTGATGCTCCAGATGATGTATACTTTGTAGCCACATCTGCTACTAGGCAAGTTTCATCATAAATTCATTCACTAAAGCCAAGTAGTAACATGAATAACAGGGCTACAGGATAATGTTTTAAAATACAGGAAAGGGGTTAAATCAGTGAAATCATTGTTTCTAGTAAGTGACCTTCAGCAGTTTTGATGAAGGTGAAATGGCTTAGACATTGATCTCATATGTCTCTTTCCTTTGCAGTGATTTCTAACCATTTTTGGTGTTTTCAAATTATTGCCCATCAAGTTTTGTAAAAGAAGAATTAACTGAACAATGTTAATTACTCGAAAGCCTTTATAAAAACACAAACTTTTTTTTTTGACATAATTGGTATATTTTTCTGATTACTGACATTGAATTATAGTTTCCACATGATACTGGAATGCATTTCAACCAATCCTTCTCCTACCCTTGTAGTTTATGAAAGTTTATTGTAAAAACAATTATTCCTTCAGAAATGCTACTTCCCTCTTTAATATATGTATAGAGCTATTACCTCGTGTACTACCACGTAAATTATTGTGCATGCCACAAAGCTCCGACCCCTGTGTGTATTGTGCTAGTCTATGATGTAATCATCATTAGGCTATAGCTCTCCACCAATAGGAGGGCGACACATCCTCCATGTGCCACAATACTCAAGGGTTTATTCTTTCCTCAGGACTGCTTGTTTTCAAATTTGTTGTTTTTTTATAAGATTTCCCAGAATTTTTGTGCTTATTGTTTTGTTTCTATTCATCATGTAGTCTTTCTTTCCCTAATTGTCTTGATTATGTGAAAGAACAGTACTAAATTTTAAATTTATCAGAACTTTCATTTGAATCCTTTAATCAGCCTTTTACTTTTGGGGGCAAGTCCATATTTCTGGCATCTTCCAAGGTTTTTAATACTCCTTCACAGGAGACATCCAATACTGTAATGGACTGGAGACACTCTGATGAACAGTGATATTGTCACTATTGTACACCACATTTGTATCCAAGAAATCTGACCTCCTGCTTCTGTTTTTTCAGCTGAGCCTGCTCTTTGCTTCTAGATATGGATCCCATTTTCATTGTTCACTGCTTAATTTCCATAGGTATATGTGTTTTGTTTTCTCTTTCTCCAGTAATTTTTTGTTGAATCTTGGGCTCCCTTGTTGCTTGATCCTCCTTTGTCTGATTCCTTTCTTTTACTTTAAGGATCTATTTTTCCTTCCTCTTTCATTCTCTCCATTTACTTATCTTCACTACTCAGTTTCTTTGTTCAATCTCATGATTCATTGTCATTTGGAGGCTTTCCATCATGACCCTATTGTTTTATAGGATGTCCTTTGGCAGGTTACCTTACCTTCTGACTTTTGTCTCCCTCAATCTTCTCTCCAAGATCTCAGCCCTGTACTTTTTGCAAAGTGATTTTGGGGATTATTTCTTATATGCTGGCATCTTGAGGTGATGCAGCTCTTCATCAGTCATATCTTCTCATTTTGGTTTTTTGCCCTTGGGACCAGGGACACCACCAGCTTTTTCATCACATACAGTCTCATGGGATTGCCTCTCTTCTCTTTCTTGTTCCCTTGTTACTATTCACAGTCCCCTCTTCTTTGAAGGCTGGCCGTCACAGGTCTTGGAGGCAATTCTGTTGTTGCCCCTTGTCTCCAGTCCTACGGGAATGCTGCCCTCCCACTTTGTCTACAATCTTTTGAGTTCCTTGGGTACTTTTTTAGGGTTTTTCCTTTATTTCTACTCTCCACCTCACCTATTTCTAATGCCATGCAACAATTCTTCAACCTCACTCTGGTGTTTTACTCTTGTCTTTTTATCATTCTCACTAAGATGAGAGATAATCAGTATTATCAATCTGTTCCACTTGACCCAACTTTTGTCCTTTCCAGTCTGTGATAGGTAGTTTTCTCACTCTTCACTGGATTCTCTCCTTGGTAGTGGATGACTATTTGAGGCCTTAGATGCTTTGTCCACCTGCCTTTTTCTTCCTTTGGTTTGTCCACAGTGAGATGGGGATTTCTACACGACTGCTTTGGTGATGTCAATGTATTTTTTCCAGGCTGTTCTGCATTTGACAAAAAAAACAGCACCAGGTGTGTACCTGCTCTCACATCTTCTGTCTTTAGTTGTAGTAACCCATTGCTCTGTCTTTTAGTGCAGGACTTAATTCCAGATGATTGTGCTTGTTGACAATGGTCCATGCACTTCTCTGGTGTTTCATCCCACACAACTTCTCCCCTTCCTCAGTTTTATTATGGGAGAATTCTTACTTCTCCAGTCCCAAGCCACTGTGGATGTCGATGTGGAGAGTTCCTTATTGGTTCGTGTAATCCCAATGGTATGAAACTGAATGGATGCACCTCTCATTTGGGAAGTAGTGCTGGAGTGTTACCTGGTAGTGTAGTACAGGACACCTTACTACATTTTGGGTCAAGCCATTCCTGATGGTTAGGTTCAGCTAGATGGGTCTTGAGTTCGCCTTTGGACATAGATCTGGGATGCTACTCCATACACCTGATTTGTATGATATCTCACACAAGTATTTCTCCCATATGGAACAGTGTTTGTTATAGTCCTAGCCTCACTACACAGTCATATTCAGCTATCTGCCCATGAAATAATGGATGGTTGAGCATTCTACCATTCTTCCCACCTTGGCAACAGGTTAATACCCAACGAAAAATTCTAATGATTTTTTTTGCTCTTCCTCTTCTACTGCTAAATAGTATTCCTTATTTGAGAGGTATGCAGCTTCTTATCAAGTGATTCTCCAGTAAGCTATCCCCACTTCGTGGATGTCACACTGCACGAGCTTTTCCTTTCTGATGCTGTTTTCAGAAAGAAGTTCATATATTTGTAATTGGGACAACAATAAATTTACAGAATTACAATGCTAAAATCCAGGGTTCATTTCCCTACAGTGGACAAAACAGATAGTCCAGTGTGGCTTTACTCTAAAACTTTTTGCAGTTTCTCTGCACCAGGCCTTTCAATGTGAGATTTTAGCTCTTTGTGGCGCAGAAAGGCTAGTAGCACTTCTGAAGATAACATTTTCCTTATTGAAAAATGTATTTCAGATAGATACTTACCTCCCACAGTTCTTTCCCCCTTCCAGAATGAGGTTGTGTTCATGTGCTATTGCTCATACAGATTTGTGCACATAGAAGATGTGTTAGTGGAGGGCTATTGTCTAATGATGATTACATCATAGATTTGTACATTACATGTTGACACATTTAGGGGTGGGACCTTTGTTCAAGGCTTATGGGATGTGCCATAATTTACACAGCAGTTCACACAAGGTAATAGCTTTTTGTGGTGCAGAGAGGTATCTATAATACATTTTCGTCTTAAGATTTCTAATTTTTCAGAAATTTTAGAGGTAGAAAAATTCTGTTATAAATTACTGAAACTAAGAATCTCCTCTATTTGTTAGTTTTTAGCTGGAAAGTCTTTATCTTCAAATGAAGACTCTTCACTAAGGTACAGACAGGCATATGAGTTCATCCAGTGTTATACATAGCCCAGCTTACATCATTTTATTTGTAATTCTACATAGTTTATTGGCACAGATTTAAATCATGACAGCAATAAAACAAAAAAATGCATGATATGCTGCTTAGCCCCCCTCCCCCTAAATGTACTACAGAAATGAAAGTTCAAATATTTTTCCACATTTTAGTTCTAAAATTAACTAGATAATGATTATAAAATGTTTTAACTTTACACTAACTTCTGACTCAAACATTGTTGAAATAGATGAGAATTACATTTTCTATATTTATTGTTTACATGAGGCCACTGCAGTCCCTAAATGGTTAACCCAGTTCAGTATTTTCGTTAACATTGAAAAACCTGAAATAAATAGTGCTACATTATGTATGATACAAGTCCTTTAACATAATTTTTCTGCCAAGAAAAAGTATTATAGTGTAAAAAGCATGTTTCATCAACATATAATATTATTCATTATTGGTTCAATATAAGTAGTTTACATAGACACAGTAATACATTTATACAGTATGAAACAAGAGTCACGTGACAGGAAATTGCTCAGTGGTTTAGTATAGGTATTTTGGCACCCAGAGTGTTGGTTTAGAATATGGCTGTGTTGTTCAATTAAGATGGCCTCTTTGGTTAAAATTAGTGTTTTAATAGTTATATTATGGTTTTTTTAATTTTTAATAGTTGTAAAGGTGGGAGTTTTTTTTTTGTTAAGTACATCTATGTTTCCAATTTTCTACCAGTTTCTTAAATGTAGAATTACAAGCAGTTATTATGAATAACATTGGTATGTGTGATTCTACATATCATTTAGTAAAGATTTTAATTTAGGGCCAGGTATTTGAGTGAATTTGAAGTCGACGGGAGTTTTTATGTTTAGTGTGAAGTGTTTTTGAACTGATTTCAGGGATAAATGGTAAGCTGCAGTATAATGTTTTGTTTGTGAGAGTTGAGGTTTTTGTTGATGTGAATGAAGGAATGCTTTAAAAAGTTTAATTTCCTTATCAATGTTCTGTGTTTAGGAGGTTTTTTTTATAATGTATTAATTTTTTTGTTTTGTTTCACGAGTGGAATTTCAAGGGAAGTAGAGGCCAGTGTGAGTGTACTTACAATGAATTTTGGTTTTGAAATGTGTGTCAGATATAATAATGTTGAGGTTAAGAAAGGATAATTGTTTTTTTGTGCTTGGGGAATTTAATGTTGGGATGGAATTTATATATTGAAAGAAAATATGGGTGTATTTGGTAGAAGTGAATCTGGCATAGTGTTATTAACAATGGGTATTAAACACAGCAGGTGAAACAGGGTTGCTCATGCTTAAATAGTCCATTTAAAGAAAATTCACTGAATCTACCACCAACAAAGCTCATTATAAATTTCCACCAGTTATTGTTGTAAAAATATCACACTAACATCACAACAAAAATATTACACTGTAGGTAGTGCCAAACATCTATAAAACCTAGTACAGTTACAAGAATTACTCAGTTTGATCAGTAAAACAACTATTTTTGGTACACAACCAAATGTGAATGATGATTTTGTCCATATTGTATGGCCAACAAAAAACAAAACATAGTTGTTGTACAATAATTACTGTTATTTACCCACAGAAAAGTGAGAAGACAGCTGGGGATGAGTGAAGTACGTCGCACTGCTAGACGACCAACTAGAAAACTGTATGTAAAAGCTCTACAGTACGGAGTACCATGTCAACGGCAGGTCCTTTTACAGGAATAGCTCTGCAGCTACAACAATTATGGTGAAATTGTGTGACTGACAAAGTAAGCAAGCCCAACGGTGTCTGTCTATAATGGGTGGAGTTTGCTGATGTGGATATTTTAAAAAATAAGGAACATTCCGTGTGCATGAGCAACCTTCAGTATGTTACAGTGCTGGTTGAGGTGTTGTAGTCGTGACTTGACCCAAAGTGATAATTGTTTTGACAAAGAGTGAATAAAAAATGAGAGATCCTGCAGTTGCAGAGAAGAAAAAGAAACATGCTGTTATTATTCAAATTTTACATCCCCCATATATATATATACACACATGTATCTGTTTATATAAAACAGACAACATACCCTTCACTTTGGGGGTTTTGAAAATTACTAGCATAATCTCTATCTCAAAATAATTCAAGAAATACCCTTCCTCGCAGTAGCTGCAAGCTGGACTATAGGGAAAGAGGACAATGGACTTTAATAAAATTTCTGACATCTTCTCTCAGTCAAGGAATTTTAACTATTTCATCATCACAAGAAATTGATTATTCTCTACAGAATAAGTTGGATTTTTTTTATGTCAGGTGGGTCCAGTATTTATAAAATTATATTAATAGATTTTGGACAATGGTAAGCCTGTTGGTTTGAAATATTTGTTCTGTTTTTTAATCAAATCACAATTTTCTTCTGTAATATGTAAATCATACTTAAGGTATTAATTTGTACCTGATATGCTTGAAAGCAATTTTCATCCCTGTTCTAAATGGTAATGTTAAATTTCAAAACTACAATGAAGTATTTGGAGGCATCCCATACTATAAATTTCTATGTAAGAGAAGAATGGGATTAAAAAAATAAAAAAAATAGAGCATACTGAAAGGAAGGTAACTTTTCCTCTGAAAGTGACTTAAGGTCACAAGAAATGTTTTCTTCCTTTTGAACTTATTTCTTGAGATATACTTTTAATAACAATATGAAATTAATAGCACTGACCAAAACTCTTAAACTGTAAAGAAATATATACACTTCTTTGTGTACTAGTGTGCATGTATCATGGAACATACATTTTTTATAGACTGAATTATACAATGCTTTATAATCTTGATGCGTTAGATAATAAGGTTATCTTTACAGTTTTTATCCACAATTATCCCCCCTCCCCAAAAGTTTTGGCAGGCTTACTCTGAGCACACTTTCTTTCCCATATCTGTCTGTACATATTGTCTCGAATAATAATCTTCACTTTCATTAGTTTATAGCTTGAATTCGGAAAAATTTGTATAAAAATACTTTATACAGTTTTGTGTCTGTGAGGAAAAAACAAATAAAGTTTATTAAAATTTAGGTATTTAGTACAAGTCAAGAAATAATGACTTAAATGTTCACAAAATGATCTACTTTTTTTTTCAAGGAATAAACATTTTAAGCCAATCAAAATTAGTAGTGTGGTATTTCAGAACATGGGAGAGGGGCTTTTTATTATGTTTATGTATTGCATTGTTTTACACCCATCAAGAAAAGAAAATACTTCCTTGCCTCCATTACCTTTAATTGAAGGGACATTAATTAGTACTTGAGTATTTATTTTGTCATTTTGTATAATGCTTTTGCAGACTGTCTGATAATAAAATATTGAACACAAATAAGTTTTATTTCCTTCATCAGCAAACCTATATAAAAAGGTTGAGCTTAACATGTTTTTTTATGTTTACTATTTAGCATTCAAAACACTATTAATCTTTTCACAGTTTGATGACAATATATGGCAATGCAGATGTTCATGTCTATTGTTTTTATTTCACAACACTTATGATAACAGATGTAAATCATTTTTCAGATAGAGAAACACTAAACAAATTGGTAGATGGACAATTTCTTAGCAAGGGAGGAAAAGATGTCAAAATATTCTTGCTAAATTGAAAGTGAGTTAGTACTTGAAACAAAATTATGAAATGAGAATTCTAGTTAAGACAACATTTATTAAAGAAGCATCATACCAAGACCTGTTGAAATCTTTTTATTACTTTGCCCACTAAAGATACCTTGCTTCTCCAGGAGGCATGTTTTATTTACGTTGTTTTTGTCAGTTAAGATCACTAAAATCTCTGTCCAAACACACGTGAGGTTTGCTTCTGGTTGGAACTATCATCATATGATTTGACCAAGAGTGTTGTCTTGGGCCCAGTTGTCCAATGGGCTTCTGTTTCATCTACTACTGCTGCTTCAATTATCACCTGATGCAAGCCCACGACAGGGAAGGCCAAGAGGAACTGAGCATGGAAATAGTCATTGTGAGGCTTCACTGTTTGTGACATAGTGTTGTTGTTATCCTGTTGTGCCTGTATTGAAAAACACTTTCTCACACAATACACCAAATAACCACTTGTAACACAAGTAATGTTTGATTAAAAAGGAACAAATATTCTAATTACATAACATAAATCCAACCAAATTTTTTAATAATGTGATGGTCAATATACTGAGAGTTTATTGCACTTTATAAGACTATGTTTTGGATATAATACTAGTCTTAGAACTGCCTATTGACCATGCAGTCCTAGACACTATAATTTCCATTATAAGAAGCTTCTGTAACATCTTTAACTATTATTCTTCTTGACAAAAGTTCATGAATCCTTTCACTGCATGTGGATGGACATTGGCTTCCAATGTTATATTCAAAGGACTAAAAAGCACAAAAGTTCTGGCTTATATCTTATGATTCTGTGTTAACTCCACATCTGGATATATGCCAAGATTCATAACAATAAACTTCACTTGATGATTAAGCTGGTTGCCCCAGACTAGCATGAAATGTGGTTATATAGACCACTACTGTCTTAAATGCTGTACTGTATTAATGTCTTCCTTGTTTTTTTTTTTTAGTACTCAAAATCAGTTAATAATATCACTAAACAAATACAGAGGTGTTAATATTTTACCTGTGACACTAAAATTTGAATCTGCAAGTCATTCTTACAATGCAAATTAACCTTCTGTTTACTGATTACTAATATAAAAAAACATGGAATATAAACAGGTATGTAGAATACTTATATTAAAATTTTGGAATAAAACTGCAATTAATCTTTATTAAACAATATATACTTGTAGGAAATTACAACATTATCAAGCTTTTTTTTTTCTCGTGAACTTACACTACATTATGGAGAAAGCCTAAATTAATGTTTAATTTCATATAGTTAAGTGTCATAAACACACTTATGGTACCAAGCCAGTGTAATTTATATATTTCATGCCATTTGTTACCAGATAAACAGCGATGTTTCCTCTTCCGTTAAAAACTATCCTGTGATCTTTATAACAAGTATATCCCTTGAGGTAGTGATTACTTGGGGAATAAAAACTGATAATTAAAGAGGCCAACATTCGTGAGCAAATGACATATCTCCATTATGCAATCCCAACATTTTGACACCAGAAAAATTATGAAAAAAAAAAAAATCTAACTATTTACATCATTGCTTGGGACCTGCAAGAAGATACCTTTGTACCAAATCCCATGTAAATTAGACAAAATACAATGGGATGATTGAAAAGTGTCTGGAAGAAAAACAGCAAGTCTCATCTGAGGAGATATAAATATTTCATTCTTTTCTACGTTCACATGTAAAATTTAATGAGAATTTCCTACAAATTGCAATATACCTGCACCACCCGGAAAAGATATAAACAAAGATATGATTAATTAAACATATTCTTAATTTAAATATTATGTAAAATCCCATCTTCAAACAAAAAAAATACACAATACAGATTATTTTATTATATTGATGCAGTGGTTTTTATTTGCCTTCAACAAGTCTTGCTTCTATTACATCAGAATTATTGAAAGAACGAAAGAAAAATCTATCATGACTTGCATATTAATAAGTATTAACTGAAGTACCTTATCTAATATTAAATCTAACTGTAATAAAATTTTTGTTTAAAATTTACCCCAGTGAAATGAACCTAATGAAACTTGCTGAACATTACTACAAATGGGTAATGCTGAGCACAACCCCAGTAAAGCTTGTTTTTAAATCATTATTCCACTGACAAACCTATAAATGAAGCTTGGCAAACATTATTGGAAATAGATAATACTGTACACAACCCTCATAAAGCTTGTTCATAAATCATTATTGACACAAACATATAAATGAAGCTTGCCAAACATATTGGAATTAAATAATACTGAACACAACCCTAGTAAAACTTGTTTTGAAGTTGTTACTTCTCTGACACAAACCTATAAATGAAGCTTATCAAACATTAATGGAAACAGGTAATACTGAACATAACCCTAGCAAGACTTGTTCTTAACCCTAGAACACTATGTTGATGATTGAAAATTTAATGCTTACATTCTAGGGTTAAATTATTACTCCAGTGACACAAACCTACAAATGAAGCTAGCCAAACATTATTGGAAATAGGTAATACTGAACACAACCCTAGTAAAGTTTGTTTTTAAATCATTACTCCACTGACACAAACCTCTAAATGAAGCTTGCCAAACAATACTGGAAATAGGTAATATTGAATACTGCCCTAGTAAATCTTGTTTTTAAGTCATTACTCCACTGAAATTTTGTAATTATTGACATTTGTTCAGAGTTCACTTAGTTATTAACTTTGCATCTTAAAACTATACTTAAGTGTATTTTATTTTGTCACTTGTTCTCATCAGCTTCATTTTAACTTTGTTCCAAATACCTGAATGTGAAGTTTACACCTATATTTTATTCAATCTAATTTGACAAGATTTGTCTTCTTACATACACACACACACATAATTTGTAATACTTGTTTTTATTCAACTCTGTTTAACATTTCTGTACTAACTGACATCCATTTTCAAAGTTTGACTTCTTACATCCCCCCTATCATAACTGTAAGTTTCATTCTTGTGGTGTGATGTACATTATTCAAATATCATAGTAACCAAGTTCTGACACATCTAATCTATATTATCATTCATGGCTTACCTTTCCTTCCTGAACTGTGGTTGTTTTACTCTGAAGAGTAGAGGAAACAGTTAATAAAACTTTAGCTACTTGACGAAATAAACTAGGCCTTCCACCATGCTGAACAACACCTTCAACTTTAACTGCCAAGTGAGCAGTGTTTTGAATAACGTCATTCGGTTCTCCCGGAGCTTTGGGTTGAGGAGATACGGCCAACTGATAGAAGAAGCAATTATTATGTAAATCAAATGACAGAATATTCATTGCAAGTAGGGTCAAACAAAAGTTGCAATTAACGATTATCTATGACATGGTGGTGACAACATCCATAAGAATTTCTTGTTTCACATTTACTAGGTTTACTGTCATCCTAATATGCTTATCCAACTCATAATAAAATATAAAGTTTAAAAACTCAGTTGGTAGGAAAATCAACTCCTCATCTTTCAAGAGTTTCATGTCTTCAACTGTCCATTAGTGATTTGCTAACTATAATATTCTTTCAAGAGTTGTCTTCAACTGTCCTTAGTGATTTTCTAATTATAATATTCTTTCATGAGTTTTCACCATATCTTCAACAGTCTTGTTTTTTTCTAACTATTATGTTCTTCCCAGAGTTTTTCATTATATCTTCAACAGTTCTTTAGTTATTGTCTAACTTAGCAGAATCAAAGGTAATGTAATCACTTGTGTAAATTTAGGCTTTAAGTCTTGCTAACACTATTTATCTGAAATGCTGGAAGAGCTTTTTGTTCTATGTATAAACTTTCATGTACTACAGAAATCTCTTGTGCTTCATACTTACAACAAGTACAAATCTATTTGAGTACATTCAATGTTGCCAAATTTGAATCTTATTCTAACTATAAATGTATGTTTTTATTTCCTAATGTACAATGTATTTATATCTGATTCTACTTTGTGATCAAAGAAGTTCTTGATGTTAAAAGTCCTTACTAATGCTGATCATTTGTTTTCAGTCACCTACTAAAATGTAGTCCTACAATAAGTTTGGATTGGTTTGTTCTGAATTTTGCATAAAGCTACACGAAGGCTACCTGCACTAGCCGTCCCTAATTTAGCGGTGAAAGACTAAAGGAAAGGCAGCTAGTCTTCACTACTCACTGCCTACTCTTTTACGAATGAATAGTAGGATTGAGCATGACATTCTAAT